GTTTACAAACTAGTCAGGGGGGACCAGCAGGCATTGGGGGAGTTCCTCTGTGCCACTGAGCGCTACCAGGAGTGACTAGAAATAACGGTCACAAGCTGGCTGAGGGTAGATTCAGACAAGACAGACATCAGGAGACACTACTTCACTGTCGGGGTGGCTAGGATCTGGAACCAACTTCCAAGAGAAGTGGTGCTGGCTCTTACCCTGGGGGTCTTTAAGAGGAGGCTGGATGAACACCTTGCCAGGGTCGTTTGACCCCAGTACTCTTTCCTGCTATGGCAGGGGGTTGGACTTGATGATCTGCTCAGGTCCCTTCTGACCCTACCAACTATGAAATGATGAACTATGAAACTATATTTTGGAAGATGGCACTATGCAGAATGAGAAACCATTTCGGCTTCTTTCCTTCAAACATTTTCTCATGCCTGATTTCTTTTTCTTAGTAAGATATAGCATTTTGTCCTCAGGAAACCAGGCTTCAGAGATAGCTGGATTGGAGAAATCTAAAGAGCATCAACCAAAGAGAATGGCAGTAGAAAGTAACAATGGTGCTTTGCATTCAAACAACACATAATAATGAACACACATTATGTGTTCATTATTATCCTTGAAATCTGTTGGTTTTTTTGTGGGGGAGGGGAGCGGGGGGACGGGAAACAGGACAGGGATGGGGACTGAGATACATAGGCTCAGTGACTCATCTACGGTCAGACCTCTTGGAACAGAACCCACACGTCTCTGTTTCCAGTCTTGTACCTTAAACACAAGGAGAATCCAAGCTTGGCAAGTAAGTGGGGATCACAAGCACCAAGCAGTGATTACACATCACAATCACAGTGGTTTCCTACATTTTTTTAGCTCAGAGGCCACAACTTAGCAACCTTAGGCTTAACTTGATAATTTCTTATTGCCATGAGGAACGTCAGAGGGGATAGTGTTCCCCAAACTCTGAACTATGAATCTAATCAGTAGGATGGCATAGATGTCTATATTTCAGACCACAGGTCAGATATCCAGGATATGAGATTTGAAGTCAAAAGGCAGGTGATAAATGTGTATTTGAACACATCCATGCTCCTCTTCAGCATGGTATGTATCATCATATTTATCACTTGTAGCTGATTGTTATTATATGTGGCCCATCTGATTTGCTCTTTCACCCATCTTAGTTGGTGTTATTAGTCCTGAATATTTATTCTGTCAAAATAATACACAAGGTAAATGGCAGGCAATTTTCCCAGGCTTATTAAATTATCACAGACATTTAGTAAAACTGAAGATCTGGTCCCAATGCATTAAATAAATAATCAAAGTAAAAAACCCAAACAACCAGAACTAATTACCGGAGACCATTCTTGAGCCAGCCACTCTGGACAGTCAAATATGTTGCAGGGCTGAACAACAGGCATCTTTGGAGTGTACATGCACTTCCACTCTTCCACAGGGCTCATGTGCCCCTGAATGTCTTCCTCCACACAAGAGACTGTGCGGCTCTGAATGCCTCCTCCACATGAGGAGGAACAGGCTGTCCATGGAGTACTTTCCCACCTGCAGAACAAAGCATCAATAAAGGGGGGAAAAAAATGCCTAAACTTTTCTGTGGGGCCCTCCCAACTCCACTCTTCCCCACAACCTCTGTTTTTGGACTAGCAAGTCTTGCTTTGTTAAGGAAAGCCTGAAAAAGAAAGCATGTGTCTATTTATTGTCTTTTAAAGAAGTCTTCTAAGTTAAAGACTAGTGGTAAGAACCTCCCTCTTTTCCAGGAACCAAGGATATCACCACAGAGAATTTCAATTAGCAGGATCATTATATCCTGGTACAATGTGCCATGTCTTGGGAAATTCAAATCCCAGTGCAATGGAAGCTCAATATGCCTTACTGTTAATGTCCTTAGGCGAAGAAGCCAGGCCACCCATTACTACAATCTCCATATGATACTGTTAGTCAGGAAAAACAAAGACAGAAGGAAATTTTCCAAAGTGAATAAAATGAGATTGTGATAAAGCATGTATGAACAGTGGATAAGACTATAGCTAGGGCTATACTGATGCAGCTAGTAACCATCAAAGAAATGATGGGAAACAATGTTGGCTTTGTCTGACTAGTACTGAAATAACGAAAGGAATTTAGAGACAATTTAATTAGATTTACAGGTAGCATTTTGTTGAGAAAAAGAAAGTGAAATATTGACAGATAATGTATATATTTTGAAAAAGCTGTTGCTACTTTATGAGAGTAAATGATATATTTAAACATACATTTCACAAAATATACATGCACTATATAGGTTTACAAACAATACCTGTGCATATTTGTGTTTATACACATATATATATTTATAAAATACACACAAGGGTATGTACATATGCACTGAAATCTTGCTGGTTATTAGAAAGAAGATACTAAATCGCTGATCTGATCTGGCAGTCCCTGGATAAATACAAGCTCCATGGATATCTGAGCATTAAAACTGCCCAAAATTTTTCAGCAAAATATTTTCCGAATGAAAGTAACTTTTCAACATTTTCTCTCTCTTTCTGCTTTTAACAAAAAGATCAAAATTTGTCAAAACAAAAAAATCAACCCCAGAAAAAAAATATCTTTGGCTTTTAACGAATAAAGCTTTTTTTTCTTCCCCATTGCAATAATGTTAATTTAGTAATTAAACAAAATTTAAAAAGTTACAGAAATATCATAGGAGATGAATGAATTTAATTTCTTCTCCATTTTTTTTTACCCCATCTCCTAACTGGTACTAATGTACACACAGGGTGCATACAGGCTACATAATAGCTCACTTCATGGGAAAAGAGTTTCACTGACATCAAGATGTGATGGCTGCATTGTTTACAAATGTCAAAGACTCTGATGACTTATGTAACTTGCCCCAGAGGAGTGCTGACACAACTTCCCGTGTTGCACATGTAGCAAAATCCCTAGTTTTGCTTTTTTTTTCTTTTAAAATGCATTCCCCCTCCCCGTCCCTAACCATTTTTTACTTTGTCTCTCCCTCTCTATTCCCTATAGATAAGTATAAGTAAGCTAAGATATAGGATAAGCTTTAACATTTTATTTTAGGTAGTAAGTTTTAATTTTTCTCTCCCCTCTTTGCAAATAAGTGCCCTGCTATTTTGATATAGATATTCACTGTTTTATAAGTGATAATTATTATGTTTGTATTGATTTTTGTTTTTTGCTGCTTTTATATTACGAGATTACTGTTTTAGGCCTTTAGGTAAGTTAGCATAAGTCATGTCAAGTTTCCATCTTGTAATATCAAACCTCCATCTTATCCCCATGCCCGGTTGTGTAACCTATGACTCATACTACCCCTCCTATGTAAGTTGGTTCCTGAATGAATGGGGGTGAATGAGGGTGCTTGAGAGACAGTAGGCAGTAGGTCTAAAAATAGCTCCTTCTGAATGACCGAACTATCAACACCAATACCTAGACCAATGACCCAGCCTATGGAACCACCCTCAGCATTCAAAAAACAAAAGATGTGGCAACCCACCATTGTGCCAAGGCTGCACATGCTCAGTATGAATATCTGGAGCTCTCTGGAACAGAACTGACCTTGCCTGAACACGCCCTCCCCACAGGAGATCGTAGGTAGTCTGCCCCATAAAAAGGGGTAGTGAAGACTAGCTCCTTGGGAACACCATTTTCATCTGGACCAGACCAGCTCCACGTCACACCACCTATCCGCCCCAGAGGCCCTACCGGAGACCCCCTCTGGACAACATTGAGCTGAAGGAGACTCTGACTGGCCATCGAGGACCCACTTTCAGCCTGGGATGGGTAGATATCACCTGCATATTTCCTTCTCCAATTTGGACTCTCTCTCTCTCCTCCCGGACTTCAGCCCCTGCACCAAGCCTCTTTAACCCTGCTGCCAGTGTGTGTGTGTGTGTGTGTGCGCGTACGCACACGCGTGCACACAAAGGAACCAATAAAATATTGTGTCACCATCTCCCCTGTTCAATAAAACCACTGACATTTGTAACCCCGAGTTGGGTTGTGTTTTACTGAGCCCCAGTCGCTTCCCTATCTTAAATTCCAGTCTCTCTCTCTCGGCTCTCAGTCCTGTTCCTGCCACTTTTTGCCTCTTCTCTGTCCCATTTCTGCAGACTCTCAGCCCTGCTGCTTTCTGCAGGCTCTCAGCCTTGCTCCCGCCAGTTTTTGCTTCTTGCCACCTCTTCCTAATCCCTATCTCTCTCTGCCTTCTCTTTCACACTTTCTGTTCTCCACCTTCCCCCTCATGCAGCCCCACTCCCAATTTTCCTCTCCCCACCTACCTCTTGGCTCCTTTGTCACCTCCCTACTCTAGCTCCAGCCTCTGAGCTTCTCCTGCTGGCTTTCTGCTTTCAATAAACACCAATTAACCTTAAGTTACCCCAACTTCTCTCCAGTCAGCCGGTTCTAATCCCAGCACCGGCAACTTTCATCTCAGTCTCCACCAGCAGTAACCTAAAGTAACCCCAAGCCTCAGCTCAGCTCTCTTTCTAGTCTACCAGTTCTAATCCCGGTCCTGGCAACTTTCACCCCCTACACTTTCACTCTTTCTCTTACTTTAACCTTCCCCCAGGTATCCCAAGTACATCAAGCACATACATACACACCACAACACCCAAGTTAGGATCTCACCCGTGTGTATGTGTAGGTGAGTGGTATATATGTGAACTGATATATATGTACGCCACTGTGTGCATGATATATGAATTAGTGATCTGTCTATGTGTATTGGGTGTGCAGGTATTGGTAACTGATTCTGGTCTAATTTCTTTTGGTCTGTATAGTGTGTGTGTAGGTGCTTGAACTGGTGATAGGTGTGCATTTGCCTAGGCTGGTAATTTTGGATGTGTATGTGCCTGAATTGGTAGTGTGTGTGTGCACACCTAGTGGGGGTGCATGCACCTAGAGCGTGTGTATGCACCTAGTGTGTGTGTATGCACCTAATTGCTTTTTGAATTTGTGCCTGTGCAATTGTACACTGCGCCCTCCTGTCTAACAGCACAATATTGAGATCCTGAGAGTTGGCCTGACCCCACACACATCCCTCAGATATAGGGTTAGAACTGTACCTGTTTTATTTTACTGGAGACTTTTCCCAATAATGCTGCATTGTGTACTCAGGGCCCTCAGGTACTTGAGGTCTGACAGCACAGGCTGCAAATTGGAACTCATAAATATTTAAAAACTCTACAAGGACTTCATATAGCTTTTCCATACATGACAATGGGAGGATCTGAAATCTCAGGACCTTTTCGGGGAGTCTTCAGCTGCTTTTAAAGGCCATTTTCCATATGTTTTGTGCTGCCTTGGGGGCAGCTGTTTGGGCCGGGGTATGAAATAAGGACCCAAAATTTAGCCCACAGGCTCTAAAATGGCTGAAGGAGTTTGTGACTCATGGCTCTTAAAGCAGGGTCATGGTTAATTGTGATGCACTCAGTATGCAACTGCTATCACCAGCTTGTGAAGAAAATGTTGCAGAAGCGGGAATTAAGCACCATAAAAGTGTATGCCAGTATTACATCTAATGAAGTACATATTCCTATCTCCATGATAAAACTCATGGCAGAAGTGTCTAGACAGGGAAATGTCTACAGGCAGCCCATCCCAAAATTCTTTCCAACTCACTCCCAAACTTCCAGATCCATTAGGGGCTTGCTACCCATTCTGCTATGGCTTGAAGGTGTATTACTTTTTCTGCTTAAGCTCAGCAGGTCAGAAGGCAGGAAGACAATTTGTATCTCCCTGATCCTAGCCCTTCCTCAAACCAGCGCAGTCCTTCCACTGATCCAGTCAGACTCAACTCATTGCATGGGGTCTGGACCGGTAAGGACTGAATAGGGAGGAGAGATAATGCTGAGGAGGTCTCTAATCCACACTTTCTTATGCAAGTGGATGAGATCCATGCAGACTTCCCTGCAACCTTGGGACTTTTAAGTGGTTGATGGTACCATTCAACAGTTGGGTTCCTGATAAGAGTGTCTACAGATGAATGCTGGGATTGGGGGAGTGGATCTAAAGGGATTGTTACAGGGTGAAAGCAAAACCAAGAAAAGCTTGAGAACCAGTCTTGTGCCTTTGATCGTTCCCATGGAATGATATTTTTCTTACTTTCTGTGCTGCTGAAAGCCAAATACATCAGGGCATTTTGATCCTTTATTTTGGATGTTCTTCAACTGTTAAAAAGCCTCTGTCAAGTTGCCAATGCAGGATTCTTTTTGCTCAAAGACAGTCCTTCCACTGTTGAGTGCTCCTGATTCATCTTGTGATCTATAAATTCATTCCTTCCCTTCCTTTCGCCCTCCTTTCCTTTCTCTGTTGATGGTCATGAACTTTGTTCACAGTTAAAATGAAATCCTTTCTAAGCCAAGATACCTGTCTTTTATTAACAGGCTCTCCTTTTCACCCATTTATTTTGTTAATTTTTGAGTTTTTGAGAGGGTATGTTTGGGAATTCTGTTTCAAAGGACAAAGAAAATAATTTTCCAAAAACAGGAGGTGGAGATCTATTTTATGTCTAATGTGATAAATAAGCCTAATGACATAAATGACAGATATATACTGCCAAAAAGGGTATTTAATCCATGCAAAATATGTGGTTTTTAGTACTGCAAGGTAAGGCAGGAATTTGGCATGTAAACACAAATTACGTATATCATAGTAAGAGGCGACAACCCGAGAGACAGCTACAACTGCAGGCAAGACCAAGTTGCTCTGCTCCCAGCTCTCTCCTTCTCCATTTGGGACAGCCATTATGCAGCCCAATACCATAATTCAAATCTGAATGCACTGTTGTTGTGCACAGAGTACAGCAGAGATCTGTGGTACTTGTGCAAGGCCTCACTGAGGTTTGGGAGAGGTCACTTTCTCAGCAAGGTGAGATAAACACATTGGCTAATAGGAGCCTTTCATAAATGGGAAGCCCAACAGTACAAGACATGAGCAGAGAATGAAACAGTAGAATGTCAACACTGAACTGGAAGGGCACATTCTAGTTATTGATGGGCCTGTTTAATCTGTGACAGCACTGTTAGTGGTGCTGATCCTCTGTTGCTACTTTTTGGGTTCCAAGCTGCTACTGACACAAAGGCTATAACACAAGTTATCAAGAGAGAAGCTAGGGAGTGAACTCACAGCATGTTAGCTACTCTACAGTAACTGTCTGTCCATATATTTTTACCTTAGTAGTGAACACAAGGCTTATTTTTATGGAGAGAAAAGTTATAGCACATTTGCTGTGGGATAGAAACATGCCTGTGTATAGTCACCGAGGGACAGCTGACAAGCTATGAGTCCACACCCAAGCCTTCCTCGCTACAATAATGGGTTCATGAGCCCTGTATGGAGCAACTTGTCTAATTCTATGATTTTTAAAGCAGCTGTTTATACTTTAATGGCATTTTTAATTGTAATACCATAAACAGGGTACATTGCAAATTTCTTATTTAGTGTCTGGTTCTGCAAATGTTCGTGAGAGTAAGTTTACCATGAAAGCAAAGGGAATTGCATGGCTAAGTAAAGTTACTCAAGTCACATGTATGTGTTTGCAGGACTGGGCCTTTCCATACTATTTGTTTATTTAAAAAAAAAAAAAAGATCCCCCCCCCCCCAAAAAAAAAAAAACAGCACAAAACAACAACAACAAAAAACACCACCTCCCTACTCTTTTAAAAATCCTGTGACTTGTTTAAGAGAGACACTAATACATAACATGCAATGAAAGCTTCTGGGATTTTACATTTGTAGCCTTATAATACATTGTGGAATATACTTGCCACTGCTGAGGACGCAGTTTAACAGTTAGTTACAAAGCCAGTGCTGACAGTCCCAGTCAGGGAAAGTTAAACGAAAGGAGGAAGACAAGTATGTATATATAGATAGACACACAGAGAGAAAGAGAAAGAGAGAGAGAGAGCACGCATGAGCAAGAGCATGCAAGAGAGAGATCCAGTAAACTTAATCACACTGCATTACTGCTTCAACTTTGATGTAATTTTAGCTCAGCATTAATAGGCTTTATAACAATCAGATTAGCACGCGAGCAACTCATGATTATTTGGCAGTAGAGTTCAGAACAAAGGAAAAGCAGCATCTACCACCTTAGTTCTACAGAAAAGCAGCAATGCAGAACAAAGGAATAAACTTATTTGTTAATCCTACTGTCTGGTTGATTGCTTTACGTACCGAGGAAGGGGATGGTAGAGGTCATAGGGCATGATCTGCTTGTATCCATCACTGTTAGGAACAATAATGCCAACCCTCTGAGTAGAAGGTACACACAATAAAATAAACACTAAATGATTACATTATACAACTTTTTTTTTTTTTTTTACACAGCATTAAATAAAACTGACAAAAAAACTACCTACGTTGCTAACATTTTGAAAACCAAACATAAGCTTTTTTGTAGTATTCCTAGCAGTATGCAGGTGGTTATATGAAATAACCACTTAGTTTACGCTGGGGCCAGGTACAGACATTACACTTTTACCAGTCTAAGTGATCGGAAACAAGTCTTTACCGGTAACAGAACAGAAGTTTGGCATACATAGACTGGTTTAAAAATGGAGGAACACAGTCTAAGATTTGCCCCCTCCTACCAAAGGGTGAATGTATGTTCTGTTCACTACAGATATAAACTACGCTGCTTATGGAAAACTGTGCAACTTAGATCAATTTTGCCTTGGGCTTTTTGAATGTCTGTACCTAGCCTGAGTGGTTAATGATCTCTTATTCAGGTGTCACCCTTGTGACCAAAAATATTGGTCCATTATTGCAAATGACCCACATACTTTCTTCACTTACACAGTAATTACATGTCAGGAGGGATCCATTTTTTTTACTATTCCTAACACTTCCACACTTAAAGCTTAATTCAAAGGCCACTGAGGTCAATGAAAAAAATCAATTTAACTTTCTTGGACTTGGGTCAGGCTCTTATTTAACCTTTGTATGGTTGTTTCTGCCCTTCGGATGAAACAATCCACTGCATACACAGGAACTTCTGATAAGAAACTGAGGGAATTCTCTGTGCAGGGACCTCAGCTCTTGTATTCATGACTCCCCATGCCACATTCTTCTTCACAAGCCTATTCATTTATTCAGGCCTCTTTAGACAAACTGAGTTGAGGGAGAAACCGAACTGTGTGTGTTTTGTTTTTATGCAAGATGGTTACTGCCATCCTGACCCACCAGCTGCAACCCATGAAAAAGAAACTTACCCGGCCAAGTCTGGGAACACCACACTGAGGGAAGCTGCTGGGAAGTGTGGGACTTGCTTGGCAGAGACTGCGTGAGCGGCGCTGCCCTGGTGCTCTGAGGGAACTCTGGGAGAGGGAACCTGCTCCATAAGGGCCAGAGAGACCAGACTGCTAGGGAAACATCAGGAGAGGCTGACTCACCGGTCAGAGTCCTGAATGAATGGTGCTTCCCCAGTGCACTGAAAGGAGCTCTGGGGAAGGGAGCGGGGACTGCACACCTAACCCAGGGAGCATGTGCCCCAAGGGTCTATGCTGATTGGCTCAGGGAAAAGCCCAGGAAGTTTAAAGGAACAATGCCGAGAAGGGTTCAGCATGGAAGGAGGAGGGGACACTGCAGCAAGACTGGGGGGACTCTGCTACAGCCAGGACCCAGCCAGCTGAAACCTTGAGGGATGTCAGAGAGACTGCAACCCCAAGGGAGGAGCGAACCAAATCAACTATTCAGATAAGTGAAACTGAATGGTGGGGTGCTTATGGGTGGCCCCAGCAGCTGAGGAGACGGGGACACCAGAAAGAGAATACTCCAGGGAATGAAGGGTAAACCCTCAGGAAAGAGGGCAAGAGGGGATATTGGGAGCAGAGAGCCACAGAGGGCCCTAGAAACCTGGGTAAAGGAGGGATTTGTCCAGAGAAATTGAATAAAAGAGCCCACAAGCTCAGAGCCATTATAGACAATAAAGCTGGAGTTCAGCACAGGCTAAGTTTTCTTTTTGTTGTGTCATTCAGTAATCTCAGGCTAGGGAAATATAGCAGGAAGAAGCCAGACCCCCTGCACACTTGAGTTCTGATTAATTAAGCTAGAGTCAACAGCTGAGACCCAGTGAGGCATCAGAACATGACCTCTGGGACTGGCAGGCAGAAATTCCATCTTCCCAGAATCCACAGATCCCAGAGAGAAGGAAGGTTACTACAACCTGGACAAAACACTCAAGGAGGAACAACCCATTTGGAGGATATGGCCATGGCCATCAGCCAAGCTGGGTTGGAAAGGAACACCAAGGACTAGCGATGCGCGCTTGGTGCTAACAGGATAAGATGACTCATCACCCAAGAGGAAAGGTGCAGGGTGTAGGGGTGGTGGAGCCCTGTGGAAGACTGACCTTACCTGTACGATCACCTGAGATACCATCTATACTCCTGTAGAATAACTTGACATCAAAGATGTGGCAGGAAAGAGGGAGAGAAGATGAGGTAGAGGTCCCCACGATTCCAACGGGATGAAGAGCAGCGAGTAAGCCCGCCCACCCACAGGCATAATGTGTTGTTCAGAACTGAAAAGGTATAGATTATGCAGGTGATAGGAGGTCCCTTGGGAGGAACCATCATGGAGCTGAAGAAGGCCATAGTGAAAAACAAATATGTCATGAAGTGAAGTAAATGGCTGTGGAAGGTGAGGTTGGAGTTGTTTTAGAGAAGATAAAACAGCTGTGAGTAGGTGTGGGAAGCAGAGAAGGGATGAGGGTTCATCTGTTAGGGTAAGAGGCAGGAATGAAGAACTAAGAAAAAGTATTTTCCTTCTTTCATGGATTTTACTGAAGGGAAGTGTTCCAAGCATTAAAAGGGGTCTTGTCATGTTAAGGCTAACATTAGGGCTGTGCGAAGCTTCAGTTGCTGATTTGATTTGGAGGAGATTCAGACTGATTCGGTGGCTGAATCTCTGAATCAAGATTCAGAGAGATTAGGGCAGTCCCTGCTCACCGCCACAACGAGCTGGACCCGGACTCCATGCTGGTAACTAGGAGGTGGGGGGGAGCTGGAGGAGGGAGAAGGAGACCATGAGGGGACGCCGGCCAGGCCCCATCCCCTGCCTCTTCCCCCAGCCGTCCTGAATGCCCTCTGACCTCCACCCACTCTCCCAGCCCCATCAATGGCTGCCCCACCCGGCTCCAGCATCCCGGCACTTCAAAAAAAAAGCCCCATACTCACCGACTGCTGCAGCAGCCATCAGGGCCTCTGGGGCTCATGGCAGAGCTCCCCCATGCAGTGCAGGGCATTGTGGGGGAAGCACGGATTGCCCCCCTGCCCTGCAGGATCTGATGAGTGTGAGGCACAATGAAAGACATTTTGTCAAGTTCTTGGAAAATATGCCCTGTTGCCCTCACTCCTCCACCACTGCTATAGTACACTATGCTTCTCAGCAAACTGATGAGCTAGATAGGAAAGGATTCATACACAAAGTCCAGAAACTGAAGCAGATATGCTGCAAATGAGTCTGCAGTACTGGGGAGCCAAATTAACTCCACCTCTTGCCTTCTGCAGTTACTAGTTAAAACTTATAGAAATGTTTTCTTTCTAATAAAATGTACTTTGAATAGCTAAACAAGGCCAGAATCACGAGGCTGTGTGCTGCCACGTACACTGGAATGTACAACAACTGAGGCCCTTCCAATGGAAATAATTATCCCTACCTCCTCAGGCTGCTGTAGGGATTAATTAATGTTTGTAAAGTGCTACAGAATAGCTAAATAATATTTATTGTTAGGGATGTGCAGTGTTTTTGACACTGTCAAGCATTCAGGGGTTAGAGTTTGTGTTTTGATGTAAAATGTAAATGTTGTGTTGTATTGTTTATTCAGTCTGTATGTATTTGGAGAATACTGCCAGTGGACTATGATATCATGTCATAAGACAATAATACCCTGCTGGAGAGGTGCCATTGTGAGGCTGAAAAATGTATTGCGCTAACCCCCAAAATGTGATTTTTTTTTTCAGAGCAGAACATGTTTCCTCAATGCTTTGGACAATATTTGACTACAATAGCCTTGTTTTGTCAGTGATTGTGACGGAGGGCACGCTTGGGGCTGGGTCTCATGCTGACCCGCCCACCTGTTTCTATGGGGCAGTCCACCCAATCTAGCTTGTCATGACTTTGCTGTTCCCATAAACTGGTGGTATAATGTGGGAAGCTGCCTATACCCAGCCCCGATGCCAGGGGGTGCTATCTGCAGCTCTGAACCTCCTCTACACTGCAGCCCATGCCTTGCAGATGGCACCCACAGGATGTAATCATAACCTACACCATGACTGGTGCTCCAGGGTCTCACAGGGACTCTCACTCCCTCTCTGGAGCAGCCGGTCATTGTGCTTGCCTTAAGGTCTTCTTTTCATCCCACTCTCAGCCTCCTTGCAGCAGAGGACTTACCAGGGTCAGGACTCACCCCTAACTCTCTGGCTGATCCCCCTACTTGGCCTCTGGCCCAAACTATGGCCTCAGGCATCCACGTCCATGCCTTGGCCTCTTCCCCACACATGGGGTTACTACTATACCCTGTCTTGGGCCCCTGCACCACACCCCACCCTAGGGCTTTCTCATCTTCATGATCAACTACTCACGGGCTGGCCCCTGCACTGCTCTTGAGGCTTACTCTCAGTTTGGCCCTACTTACCCAAAGTGGCCACCACATACAGTGCATGTCCTGACCAGCCTCTCCAGGAGTATACTGCATGTAGTGCCCACTTTAGCACGTCTGCTCAATGCCAGATCCAGCAGGTGTCTGAGTGGCTGGTCACTCTGGGCGCCACATGTGATGCCAACTCTGGTTACTCCAGGGCTGTGCTGCATGGGGCACCTGCTCTGTCCACTCCAGGACAGATTCTGGATCCAGCATGGAGTGGACATGCGCTGGTGTGGGCATCTCATGGGGTGTGTTGGGAACCCTACATGCTGCCTATGTGTCCACTTGAGGCTCATGGGCAGCACCAGGGGCCAGATGCTATGGCTCCACAAACCATATCTTTGACACCCCTGCCTCAGAGTAAATTAAGCCTGAGAAGGATCCAGATAAGGGGCCAGGGCCTCTTGGTGCATCTGCCATTATCTGTGAACTGCAGTGAGAGAAGAAAACAGACACTTGGGTCAGGTAGCTGCTCCAAAAGAAGTCAAGAAGCTGATTTAAAAGTCACTGCTGGCCACTGTGGCTTTGATCTCACAGCTAAGGAGTACTTCTACATCAGATTCTTCATCCTCACATCTCT